TTACTGTAGGAGTTTGTGTCCAAGGTGACAGAATTGATGGACCGGTAGACTGACTTTCATAAGCCACTAGGGATCAACCAAGCATTACAAAAACAAGCTTGTTTTTGCCAACTTAGGTGAGCAAATATAGGACTGAGTTTAAACATCCATCAGTTGGGTAATGTTTCTTCTAAACATGTGGCATTTGGAGATTTTACAGCTTTCTTCACCAGGAGATTCCTAAGTCATGTAAGTTGCTGGTGTCTGCCGATTAATAACCATCTTGTGATAACATGAAGGGCCCTTGATGGCTGGTTTTCTGCAGCTGCTTAGAGGTCCACTGAAGCCTGATTACTTTGCCAGCTCCCTCAGAATAGTGAGGATTTGGGCAAAGGAAGGCTTCTCACTCTAGCAACCACCAAACATAGTAACGGACATCTCAGCCAGACACATTTCTCCAGACTGGAAGATGAGTGGTTTGGGTCATTGCTGGAATTATGACGAGGTGGGGACGCTTGATGTTGTCTCTGAAATAACAGGTCCATTAGTAGAGAAATCATTTTCATTCTCCATGTTGGAGCTGGGGGTTAGTTCTCCCACACTATTACTTCTGTTTGGGAAACAAAAATTAGCTGTAACTTATATAAATGAATCATGGTTTATCTTACTTCTGTAAACAATGAGCTAGCTACTCAGATGTTTATCAGTGATCCCAAATAGACTCTGCCCTCTAGAAGAGCCATTTCCATTTGACCAACTCTCCATTCCTTCAGAGCTGATTACTACCAAGGGCTCATGAAGCTCCTGGCTTCTTATCTTTCCCTTTCCTGCTCCCACCTTTTGGCCCTAACTATTTTATTGTTGTTGTTTTAAAATTTCATCTCAGTGACCCCTTTTTATCGATTTTTAACATAAATTTTCCTGATGCCTTTTTTCGAGTTGCATTCATTTATGGATTCAGCTCCACACTCCCACTGCTGTGTTCATTAACTCCTCACTGAAAAAGGGAAGCTAAAGTAGTAACTGGTGTTTGGCAAGTAAGATTATCAGCAATCCTTGTTATATAGAACAATGAGACTGACAGTGGATTCTTTTCCCCTGGAAGATGTCTTGTTTATCTGTGATCCCTACACACTCCTCCTCTGCCAGCCCACTCCCATGCATTTCAGCATGGGTGATGAATCATGGTTTTCATAAAGAAGGGAATGATGTATGAAATTCTAAAACATTAAAACTGTGAGATATCTGAGGCATATACAGAATTGATATACATATGTAAGACCAAGAACTATGCCCCAACAGACGATTGATGAATTCAGTTCAGTTCTATTCTATAAACACTTATTGAACATGCACTTTGCTAAGCTTTGAAAAAGACAACTTAGAATTCTACCTCAGCCCCTGCAAACTGGAGTGACAAAATCCTTAAACAGTCAATGTTTGAGGGAAGATAGGAACACAGATATACTGGCAATTGAACTGTGAGTCGGTTCAGCCGTTCTGGATTTTTGTTTGGAATCCTGGGAGGAAAAAACCTGACTAAACTCACCATAACGATTGACTCAGCAGTCCCATTTCTGTGCACATACCTTAAAGAGGCCAAAGACAGAAACAAAGGCCCAATATATACAGCAGAACTACCATGGCAGCACTTTTGGAGGTCTAAAAAAAAACTAGAAGCAGAAGCCTATCAATTGAAGAATGGCTAAATAAATGGTTCTGTACAAATACAAGAGAATGCTTACATGGCAAAAAATTATGACCATGAGGGATTCTGTGGAATGTAGAAAGATCTATATAAAGTGATACAGGCAGTCTAAAAAGTTAGGTCACTCAAAGGAAGCCGAATTGTAAGGAAGTGAAAAGCCAATAAGGGTCCTAGAGAATAGGTCACAGAGACTCCTCCCTCCTCTCGGCAGAGAGGTGGGGGACTCCTGGGCTGGCGGATTGTGTATGTTGTCAGATTCAGTCACTGTATAGGCTGTTTTTTGCTTATTTCTTTTTCAGTTTAGAAGAAGGGTGCAGTTTTGAAGGGGAGGGAGGAGGTAGTATTTCCAGAAATGATTAAAGGCATGAATAAAGCTTATTCTAAGAAAACTGTTAAGGGACGTTAGAAATCGCCACCCTCTTACAATACAGATGAAGAAACTGAGGCCCAGAGAGATTGGGGAACTTAACCCATGTCTCTCCCCACTGTTGTTTTCAGACCTAAAACTAGCATTCAGGTTTCCCCAATTCCCACCCGGTGTTCTTTCTACTGTTGATTGGCCTAATATGTGTTATTTACCATATGCCTCATACCATATGAGTAATATGCTCAGCGCTAAGGATAAAGAGGCAAAAATGCATTGGTCACACTCAGTGAGTCAGTCAGTCAATAAACATTTATTAAGAACCTTCTCAGTTCAAGGCCCTTTGATAGTCCCTGCTCTCAAAGAGTTTACATCACGAAGTAAGGAAATGTGGAAAGGAGTAAAGGCATATGTACCAGATACAACATGTGCACAAGTAGGTAAATAAATAAAGGACTATTTGAGACAGAAGGAAATACTAGCAGCTGTGGCATCTAAACTGAGCCTCTGAGGAAGATAAGGAATCTTAATAAATGCTTATTGAATGACTGACTGACTAACATGCTGGTGGGGTAAATTCCTTGCCTATAGGATGGATAAGGATGGGACCTGTGGTTTCTTTGATATGAGGAACTCCCAGGTGAGGAAATGCCCTCTACTGATGCAGGTCTTACAGTCTTAGAGAGACACCCAGGAAACTTAAAGTGTAAGCTTGCCCAGGGTTACACAGCCTATAGGTGATGCTTGGACCAGGTCCTCTCTGACTGGCTCTATGTCCACCATGCCATGCTGCCCCAGTTGCTTAGGACATGGCTGATATGAAGTCATGGGGGTTGGGAGATGTAATACTGAGTTTGGGGGATAACTATTATGCCAGGTTTACTGGAACATGGATGGTTGGAGCCAAATTGCAGAATATTCTAAGGACCAGGTTGAGAAATTTGTATTTTATCCTTGAGTCAGTAGGAAACCACTAAAATTTTTGAACAAGGAAGTGACGTGGCTAGACCAGTACCTTAGGAGAATTATTTTGGCCTTGGTGTGGAAGGTGATTTGTAGAGAAGAGAAACTAGAATTAGGGAGACCAATTAGGAGATTGTTAGGTGAGAGGAGATAAAGGCTTGACCCAGGTTTCTAGCCATATGAATGGAAGAGAGAAGGGGATGAATGCAAGTGAGGTTCTGTTATTGAAGAAGAATCAGCAAAACTTAGCAACTGATGAAAGTTGGGGAATGAAAGAGAGGAGAGAGTCAATGTTGGCTACAAGTCTTTAAACCAAGATAACTAGGAGAATGGTAGGTAGTGTCCTGAACAGAAATGAGGAAATTAGGAGAAGGGGAAAGATCCATTTGGGACATCCTGAGTTTGTAGTGCCCACGGGACATGTAGATACAAATCTCCAGCAGGCACATGGCCAGGTAAGATGAGTTAAGGAGAGAAATTAGGACTGGGGAGAAAGTAGAAAGTGAGAAGACAAGGCCCAAGCCAGACCCTGGAGGGGGCCTTCATACTTCAGGGGATTGAGAAGAAAATGGCAGGTGGCAGGCTGACTATAGGAAGACCAGAAGAAAGTGGCACCCCAGAAATGGAAGTAGAAAAGGGATACAAGAGAGTGTGGTTCAGTGAGTTAAAGAGGTTGCTACCTGAGGAAATGCCCCTGGATTTAACAGCGAAGTGAATGATGACACTTTCTGAGTTCTCAAACTTCTGTCAAATGGTGGGAAGGAAAGCCTAATTGAAACAAGTTGAAAAGTGAGTGAATGGGTGGTGAAGAAGTGGGAGCTTCAGGAGAACATTGCTCTTTCTAGGATCTTAGCAGTGAAAGAGAGCAGAGAGAGAGGACCTGAGTAGACGGCAGAATCAAGGGAAAGTTAGGTTTAAGCATGGGCAAGGCTTAGGCATCCTTGTAGGTGGCACCAAAGGAACCAATGGGAAGGAAGAGATTCAAGATGAGTGAGAGTGAGGGTAAGAATACTCGCCAGGCGCAAGCTCCCAGGAGACAAGATGAGGTGATGAAGAGATGGGGCGCTTCTTTGAAGCTGGAGCAAAAGAGGAGAGCACCACCACACACACAAGTAGACCCATATAGCCTGTCTACTGGTTATATGTGTACTTCTTATTCTTACAGCACAGGGAATTTTTCATCTTAATTTTGGCATTGTGTATATACAGAATCCTGTTCACAGATATGTTTGTTATATTTTTTGATGCTTGTGACAGAGGAAGAAATAAGAAAGTAGCAAAAATCAGATGAGGTCTACTCCTAATGTATCCAGGTTGACCTGCCCCCGTGTCTTTCCCTATAATCCTGTAGCAAATGTGGCCTCTGGTTCATTATCCTTGTCTCTGTCTTGTAGATGAAAGTTAGGGAGAGCAAAGTTAAATGATTTGTGAAGGTCGTGGTCTAAGATCAGGAGAAATAGAGTTTTTATACTCATTGGCTCAAAACTGAGCAAAGCTGTTCTTCTAACCAAGTCTGGTCTGAAGAACCTAGACCTGCCAGCCTGTTTAGACTAACGGGATGATTTATTTTCCTGAAGTATTGAGACTTTGGCTTTTAAAAGGCACATTTTGCTTTTATAAGAGACTGTTGATATCAAGAAAGATGTTTAAATTTTTTATTGAAATCAGTTTGTAGGTTGCTTCCACCTAATAGAATGTGATATCAAAGGATCATCATAGTGATGAAGTAATTGCCTTTTTTGGAATCAGGAAAGGCGCCCAGGGGACAGAAACCAATTAAGGATGAAAGTTTCTTATGGCTACTGCATTCTCCAAAACCAACAAGCTTCTTCTCTGCAAGGAGACTAAAGGAGCATTCTGCAGGTGGCTCTTTTCTTTGAGAGGAGCTATTTTGAGGAAAGGTGAAAGTGAGGAACTGAGCATTTAGAAAAACATATTTTCACAGCAGGCTTTCATGTTTTTTCTTTCTCTATTTCTTTGGTTTAGGTTTTTCATTTGTTACAGTCCTACTCAGACTCCAAACACAGAGCGAATTCAGACTTTCAGCAGGAGTTGACTGACATCACTGTTTGTATCAAAGCCAAACTCTGGCTGGCCAAAAGGTATGTGTAAACCCCTGCCTGCCCAAGGAGTTATCAGAGTTAGATATACATTAGAGGATTCCAATGTTACAGTTGGGAGGAATTTCAAAACCATTGGTGGAAGTTTTACAAATACAGGTTGAGTGTTTATCCTCTTATTAAATGAGATGATATTTGTAAAGCACTTAGCATGGTGCCTGGCATGTAGTAGGTGCTTAATAAATGCTTGCTCATTCACCACATCTCCTCCATTTAAAACTTGGGGTTGTGATAATAAAAACCATTACCTTGAACTTTGGGTGATGAGAGAGGAGCGTAGTACAGTTTTCTATCGATCACTCAGTCAGCCAGCATCTATTACAATGGCACCTATGTGCCTAGCCCTTTATTAGGTAGTATAAGTCAATTAATCAACAAGGATTTATTAAGCCCCTACTGTTTGACTGGTGCTGCCTTAGGAACTGAAAACACAGAGACAGAAGTGAAACAGTCCCAGCGCTCAAGAAGTTTATACTTCGTGGGATAGGAGAATGGAAGACGTTGTGTGCATATATGGATATATGCAAGATAAATATGAAATACTTGGTGGGAGGAAGAAATGTACTAGGAGGAAATGGGGGATCAGGAAGGCATAAAAAGAAGAGAAGACCTTTCTTGTCCTCAGTATTTTCCTCATGTGTAAAAGTAGGGAATTGGACTAGAAGATCTCTTTATGCTCTAAGATGCTCTGATCCTCTGTGGTTCCTTATCTTGGGGGACTTATCATCTAGATAGGGAGATAAGTATGATATATGAAACTACCATAGAACAATGCAAACCTGTAAATGCTAATCCTTATGTAATGTAAGGCTGGAAGAGGAAAGCGGAGAGGTAACCAAAGGCTGAAACTGTCAGGGGAGTCTTGGAGAAGAAAATGTGTCATGGGTTGACTTTGAAATACTGGTTAGTTTTGGCTAGGTGGAGAAAAAGGAGGGCATCCCATAGAAGGAGGAATAAATAAATCCTGCTTTGAACCTCTCCTCTTCTCTCTTTTCCTTTTCTCTTCTTTCCTCCCCTTTCCTCTCCTTCTTCCCTTGTTGATTGACTCTAGAACCTAGAACATTTCCTGTGTAAAAAGAGAAGCAAAAATAAGTAAAAGCAAAATAATAAGCAAAAATAAGATTATTTTTGATGCAGTAGGATCTCACTACAAGAATTGTGTTGCAAAATACAGATTCCAAATATCATCCCTGGAAAATCATCTAGTCTCTAACATTTTGTTTTATGAGATGGAGAAACTGAGGAACAGAGAGAGGAAGTGGCTTACCCAGATTGCAACCAGGGTCTACATAAATGCATACATAATATACATACATACATACATACATACATATTGCCTGCTGATCACGGCCAGGCTCACAGATCCATTACAAGAATAGCCAAAGAATCTTGTTAGGCAAATTGTGCTTTTCCATATTTTGACAGCACCAGGGCAGGAAGAGGGAGAGCTTACAATTGAATTGAACCGTGAGATGGATCCAGAAAAGGACTAAGGGAGGGTCATGAAGGGTTCAGAGTAAAACACTGGTAGAAAGGTTGGAAAAATGGTCCCAGGCTATCAGACTTCTTCTGGTGGCGTTTCTAGGTCCCTTCTCCTGGTTCCCTTAACCTTCCCTGAATCCGACTGCTTCCAAAACAAAGTTTAAGTTTGAATTATCAGATATTATCACAGAAATAAGAATCAGGAACATTAGTCTTACGGACAAGTTCAACCAGAACAACTTAGTAAAATTCCATGCCCTGGACTGCTGTTAAATGATCGCGCTCCCCACCCCTGTGTGATTGTTTGACACAGTTGCTGATCACCTAAATCTGATTAACCGAAGTCAGGCTGTTTGCGCAGGGTCACACAGCAAGTCTTCATTAAATGCAGATTTCAAGAAAACAAATCAGAATTTCTTAGATCATGAAACCATATGCCTTTGCTTTTATTCCTCAAATATCCATGTATCTATGATAAAAATGTATTTTTCACAAGTTATTAAACAGCAATTAGAACATGGTCAGATATTAGAGCTTAGCATCTCCATAATGTCATGAAGGGAGGGGGATGCCCCCATGCAGCTATTATGGTCCCATAGAGTTTTTGAATCTCCCTTTCTCCTTCCTTAAGATGGCATATGACACCAGAATTTCCAAAGGAAGGTGCTGATGACACTGCTGAGGCTTCTGTGGAAGCCCAAATGCCAGCTTTGTTATTGGTAAAACAGCATTACAGCAAAGTCCTTGTGCAGGTCCTGATAGTCACCTGAGGCCAAGATCAGGTGGGTACAGTTCAGATAGGTTCTAAGCTGCTCAAACCACAGATTCCTCATCATTTATTCCTCCGATTCTGGTGTAAGTTCTGGGTGAGCCTCAGAGCAACCTGATCATGAGCAACCCATGAAGACACTTGGGAATCCCTGCAGGCACCCATATCCATGCCCACGCCAAGTACCCAGTACCCAAATCTAAGTTACCTCTTCTCTCTGGCTGGTGAATTAATTCTAATTCCTTTATCTTTCTTAGAACCCCTTTTCTGATTTAACAACTCTTCTCTCTCTCTCTCTCTCTCTCTCTCTCTCTCTCTCTCTCTCTCTCTTTCTCTCTCTCTCTCTTTCTCTTTCTGTGCTGTCTCTTTCTCTCTCCTCTTTTTTCCTCTCTCTCTTCTTTTTTCCTCTCTCTCTCTCTTTCTCTCTCTTTCTGTATCTCTGTCTGTCTCTGTCTCTCTCCTCTCTCTCTTCTCTCTCTTTTTCCTCTCTCTTTCCTCCTCTCTCTTTCTCTCTGTCTTCTCTCTCTGTCTCTCTGTCTCCTCTCTCTTTCTCTCTCTATTCTCTCTTTTTTCTTCTCTCTCTTTCTCTGTCTCTCCTCTCTCTCTTCTTTCTTTCTTCCTCTCTCTCTCTCCTCTCTCTCTTTTTTCCCCTTTTTCTCTCTCTTTCTCTGCCTCTGTCTCTATCTCTCCTCTCTTTCTTCCTCTCTTTCTCTCTTCTCTCTCTGTCAGTCTCACTGTCTATCTGTTTCTTCTCTCTCTTTTCTCTCTTTCTCTATCTCTGTCTCTCCTCTCTCTTTTTCCTTTCCTTCTTCCTGTCTTCCTCTCTCTCTCTCCTCTCTCTCTCCTCTCTTTTTCTCCTTTCTCCTTCTCTCTCTTCCTCTACCTCTTCTCTCTGTCTCTCTCTCTCTCTCTCCCTCAAATTCAACAAGTATTTGTTATTTTTTTACAATACCTGGCACACAGTAGGCACTTAATATATGTTTTTGGAATTGAAACAGAGGCATGAGGCAATCTAGATTCGCTTGGTCCTCGCTCCACATCACAAGGAACAAAATTTGCCAACAGTAGTGTCCCTGTTACCCCGAGGCATATTTCCCAGTTTGTAGATTGTCTTCAGATTTCTCCATCTCAGGTTTCACCCTATTCCTACCACTATTAATTAGATGTGCTCATGGAATGTAAACTCATTTTCATATCAACGTAGGTGAGATATAATGAGCTTCACATACTTCAGTATATTCCAAAGCCAAATACCTGGCTTTTCGGTACTCATACTCTTCCATTAACTTGAATAACCTTACAGTGTCTATATAAGAAATTCCTGGATGGGGTTTAAGTGATAAAACCAAAGCCTGCTGACTGTTACTTCTCACACTCAAAGATGAGGTTGCTAATAGTGTGACTCCCTTCTCTGCCATTCCCCCTCACCAAAGTGATGCTGGGAAGCCTGCCCTGTGGTCTCCTTGTCCACATGAAAATCTTACCCTCCACCAAAGCCACAATCTGTGTTGACAAGCCCTCACCAGCATGCATTTCCTGTCACAGACTCTAAAATTTGGTATAAATGAAATTCAACTGCAGAAGAGATTTTTTTTTAATGAATAGGGGCCTTATAATTTATACTTGAAGGGCAGTGTGAGTGGGATAAATATGCCCATTTTAAACTGCTCAAGGTTTTTCTGTATGTTTTGAGTATACATTTTGGAACATCATTAATGCAAAAATGTTAGTTTAAATTTTAACACAGCACGTTTTTCTTCCATAATTTATTTGATCATTAGCACCTAGTCTGGGTTAGTTCATTTAGTCCAGTCAGTTTATGTAAAGGAAGACTAAAAGAAAAGGGTGGGAGGAAAGGGAAGGAGAAGTCTCTTTCATTTTTGAAGAAGGTTTTAAAAAAAAAATCCAAAAGTCATTGGCATACAAGTCCGTTTCTGAAATGTTGAACCTAAATATAAGGACACGAAAAATTAAGACTTTTGTCTTTTGTTTGTGTTTTGACTTTGCAAGATTAATAGGTATTTATACATGGTGATTAAGCAATAGTCATAGAGTTATAGGGGAATTTTTGATGATGAATGACCAGCTGGCAAAATGTACTGAGTAAATGGTTGTGCTGTTGAGCTTCCAGGCTACTTTCCATTCCAAGATGTCCAAGCGCCTTATGAAAATCAGCTCATTAATCCTTCAGCCCCTTCTTCCCTGTCTCTCCCCAGTTCACCCTTTCCCCTCTGTGTGGAGGAAGCAGCAGCAGGCATTTTACTACTAGGGGAAAATGGGAGAGGAGGGGCCTGAGCCAAAAGGAGCATGGGAGTCTGCGCTTCAGACAGCAAAAAGGACCCTACTCTGGGCTCCAGGCTTCAGGTGCAGCCATCATTCCCCTTTGCACCGTCGGCTCAGGTTGTCCCAGTCTTGGCAGAGTCCCTGGCCAGGAGGCAGGATGCTTTTAGTGCTGTCAAACTGGGCCAAAAGGCAACAGGGCCCATTTCCTATGTTTGACTCTTGGAATTGCTTTTATAGTGGGCTTCACTATTTCAGAAATTATTTTGACTCTCCCGGTTCTCCTAAAGTTTGTTTGCTTCTTGGGTTGCAATAAAAAAAAAAGTCTGCTTGTTTTGCAGTTTCTTAAAAAAAACCAAACCTTACCAGAGTAAATGGACTCCTAAATGTCTACCTAGACTGTATGTTGATATTCTAATAATTTATGAAAAAAAGAAAGACATGTTTGGGA